TTTCATCACGGGCGGTGAACTCGGGCGTGATGATTGCTCGGCCGTCTGGCTCTCCGGTGCTGGCATAAGATGAGGCGTTGGCCTGCCCGTTCTCCAAGTGACGACTTGCTTTGGCCAACTTGAGTTTCAGTACCGAATATGGACTGGGAAAATCGTTGCACTTGTTTATGGGTTGGGGGCCCGTGAAACATGATTCAAGTAGTTCTCGGCTCACCCGATTGTCACCTCTTGCGAGAATTTCGGCCTCATCAAATATGAACGTATGACCGGGTCTCGTCGAATGAGCCGCAACTTGACAAGTGGCAATTTGCTTTGACGGATGGATTCCGTCAAATAAGCCGCAACTTGAGAATTGGCATCATTTCGCCGCACTGCTGCCACTTGTTCGGCGTGTTCGGCAATTCGCGTCTTGAGAAGTCTGCCAGTTTCTCCGACATCGTTGTTTTGCCCGCAACTCGCGTCTCTGAGAATACCTGCCAGTTTCTCCGAAATAGTTGCTTTGCCCGCAACTGCACCAGATCCTGTCTGCCAGTCTCTCCAACATAGTTGCTTTGACCACGCCGAAGATGTGCTTTACAAATAAACCTTATTATTATAACTGCACCAGATCTTGTAGACTGAATCTCACAATAGAATCTGCTGGGAATACGCCCGTTCCCACGATTACTCTGTTAGGGGACGTCTAGCAGATAGATAGCCTGCGCAAGCGGCCGCGCGCACAGCAGGCTATCGATCGGCAACAGGCAGCAAACCAACTTTCAGTCACATCAATCGATAATTCAAAATTTCAGCTAAATTTAAGCCGCCGAGTCCCAGCCAATCACGCCGGTAGCCAAAAGCTGATTGGCTCGCTGGGCCTAGCTCACAGTTGCCCTAATTTTGTTGTGCCTGTGAGTAAACTCTTTCTGTCCCTCTGGCCGACTGGTCTTCTCCTTGTCTCACTCTTACGGGCTCTTTGGTTCGGCATTCGTGTAAATTAGAATTACCAGACGCGGGTCATAACAGTATCTCAGTTTGTTGGCGAGGCCAATTGACCTGAGCCATGAGGTGGAATATAGTTTTTTTGAAAGAGCAGACAGTGAAAAAAA